TACTAGGAGGAGGAGGAGGAGGAGGCGCAGTGTCAGCAGCAGCAGCAGCAGCAGCTGCTACTGCCACTTCTGCTGCGTCCACTGCTGCCATTGCTACTGCTACTACTGCTTCTATGCGAGCTACTTCTCCGACTGCTGCTGCTACTGATGCTGCCACCGCTACGGTTGCTGCTGCTGCTGCTGCTGCTGCTACAACTACTACAACTACTGCAGCTACGACGATCACTGCTGCTGCGACCGCTACAGCTGCTACTACTGCGACCGCTACTGCTGCTACTACTGCTACTTCTGCCACTGCTGCTCCCACCACTACTGCTTTCAATAGTCGCTGCTACTACTTCGAATGTATTTAGCTTGAACACCGGAAGGATCGCAGGAGGGCAAGGGGGAGCATGGCAAAGCCAAGGAATGCAAGTGTTGCCGTGGTAATAAAAACAAAAGGAGCACAATGATATCAATATACCTTGAATCTGGGCAGTCAAGAAGGCCAGGTTGGCTGCTCGTTGATGCTCTTGGCCTTGTCCCTCACCGCATCGTGATGTGCCTGCATGAGCCCCCGGAGTCATGGACACTGTCATCATGATGTGAAATATTACAAGGGCTTTGACCGTGCAGGCCTTTTCTGCTGCAGCAAGTCGCTGATTCTCCTTGACTTGGTTGAGCATGTCCTGCAGCATGACACAGGCTTGCGGCTTGCGGCTTGGCCATGGGCGGCAGCATTTCCCGCGACATCTACACCCGGCCAGCGCGTTGTTCCGGGCCTGACGTTCTTGCTGTCGTGCCCGTTCCTCATCATCCTGCATCTGCCTGAATTCCTGGGAAAGCGAAATGAGCACGAGGCCTCTCTCAGCCCTTTTCGTGATGCAAGATCTGCTGCAGTGCCTTCATCTGCGTGTCAAGGACATTCTTGAACTTGGCCATGTGAGCGTGCTTGCCTGCCTGAATAGGGGAACCAAAGAGTGCCCCCCCTCGCCAAACGAGAAGAACGAGCTTGCTCTGCAGCTTTTCCTGCTGCGTGCGCGCGCCCGTGCGTGGCCAGGAATCTAGCCCCTGTCCAGCACTGCATCGTAAGTGTCACTTAACACAGGATGTACCATCGTGGCCTGGCTGTGAGAAAAGTCACAGCCGGAAGATGCCGTCGACTTCCAGCTTCTCAGAAGCCTCTGCGCTCGCGTAACAGTACGAGGCGAGGGGACTGAAAGCCACGGCACAATGCCACAAGGCTCCACTCAATGGAGCTGCGAAGAAAAAGGCTAAGGCCACGGTTCCTTGAGAGCCGTTTAGGCCAGAGTAAAGAGCTCGGATCTCCGAGCAGGCGAATTAGTTCAAAGTGTGGTTGCAGAGAATTTATTTCACAGAGCCCAGAGGAAGTCCATCAGAGCGCTCCTCAAAATTCCTGGCATAGCTGATGGACTGACGGAATGCAACAGCCACATGGGTAGTTGTCAAAATCATGGTCCCTTTTGGGGTACCCTAAATAGTAGGTGCCGTATTGTAATAAGGACCCAAAAAGGGACTTTTGACAACCACCCACATGAAGTCAAGAAGATAGGTAAGACAGCAGCAGCGGGCTTCAGGCTTCTCAGCATGACGACTTGACTTAGGAGGCTCAGGGTCCAATCCGCAGGGATCCCTAAACCCTAAACTGGGTTTAGGGTTTAGGGTTTAGGGTTTAGGGTTTAGGGTTTAGGGTTTAGGGTTTAGGGTTTGGGGGTTGAGGGTTTAGGGTTTAGGGCCCTAAACTCTAAACCGTAAACCCTAGCCAGAGGCACGTCGCCGTAGTCTTCCTCGTCATCGCCGTAACTCGTTTCTGCCCCCACCTCCTCGAAGTCCTTACCTGGCGAGGAACGGAACCATCATTATTGCTAATTTGTAGTATTATGATTGTTATTACCATTAAGATGATTATGATTACTGTTATTGCCATTCCTATTGTTCTTATTACTACTAACATTTTCTATTCTTACTTTGATTATTAGTATTGCTAGTATTATTTGTGTTATTAGAAGGCCTCAGTCTTCCTGGACGACCATAACAACCTAACCACCCCGAGTCCAAAAGCTCAGACCCGGGAGGGTTTAGGGTTTAGGGTTTAGGGTTTAGGGTCTAGGGTTTAGGGTTTAGTCTAGGGTCTAGGGTCTAGGGAAAACCCGAGAGGCCCGACCGAAGCCTGAACGAACCCTAAAAACCAAATCCAAGCCCCTAAACCGCTAAAGCCTTAACCCCTGAACCCTAAACCCTGAACCCTAAACCCCTGAACCCTAAATTTTACATTTTTGAACCCTAAACCCTACACTCCTGAACCCAAAACCCTAAACCCCTAAAGCCATGAACCCTGAAACAAGCCGGCATGGACAGATGGCCGCCACGTTCTCCAAAGCCTCTGCCAGCTCACCACCTGCACACAAGGTGTCGGGGTTTAGCGGTTTTGGGGTTTAGGGGTTTTTGGGGTTTAGGGGTTTAGGGGTTTTGGGGTTTTGGGGTTTAGGGTTTTGGGCTTAGGGGTTTAGGGGTTTAGGGTTTAGGGGTTTAGGGCGTTGAGGGGTTTAGGTCGTTTAGGTGTTGAAGCTGTTGGACCGCTTGGGGCACTCTCTTGCGCAACTCCTCAACTGTTCAATGGCGCCTGTAAATTACTATCTCCCACATGTATATTGCTGACATGCATACATACATACGTACATACATATGTACATGCATACTTACATACATACATACATACATGCATACATACATACATACATACATACATACATACATACACACATACACACCTGCATACATACATACATACATACATACATACATGCATACATACATACATACATACATCCATGCATCCATGCATGCATGCATGCATGCATGCATGCATGCATGCATACATACATACATA